GTGTAAATACTGATTTTTATGCACAGGAATACAAGGATGGTATTATGTAGTCGCCTGTTCATTAGCAAGAAAATTTATCTGAGGCCCACTGAAATAATATAAACTGAGGCAGTGTATTGAAAGTTCTGCTGGCAATTATGTCAAAACCTGGTGCACATGGCCGTCGGAACCACCGCACCGGTTTTGACGGACCACTTTTTCTCATATTTTTTTATATCAGGGGTGGTAGATTTTTTAGAATTATTCAGAAGAAAATATTTTAAAAATAAAAATTCGCATTACATTTTTATTAATTTCATATCCAGAATTTTTGCAGGAAACTTGATGAGTGATAACATTTTGTCTATATAATTTGGAAAGTTCTGTTACCCTTCCACGATCGAGAGTGGACATCCTTTCCTGACATTTGTGGATTCTTTGTCTACCTCGCTGGAAGAGAAAAATATTGAGAAAATATTTAGGAACAGAAAAATAATTATAACAAAGTACCAACAACATAATATATAAATGAATGCAAAATAGTGAGTGCCCCAAACTGAACATCGTATACAGTTATCGCATTGTATGGACAATGTTGCTGATACAACAGAATAGTATTTCACACTTCTTGTTATATCACCATTACAAATTATTGCATACCGTACTCAAGCGAATAAGCGCCCGGGCGCTTAAAATATTTTATGCGCTTTCTGAGGGGCGCTTATTCGAACGGGGCGCTTATGAAAACAGTGGAAATTGATTGGGCGCTTATGGAAATAGATGAAAAGGGGTTCTTATGGGAAATTATTAAATTCAAGAGGCACTTTTTGAATGAAAAAAGATTATTTAAGGATCTTACGAATGGTGGTTAGGCGGAAAAGATAATCGTCCAGAAAACATGGCTCTAACAAGAATGCTGTGAATATTTACATAACAGCAAAACAGCAATTAGTGGTAATGGGTATGGTTAGTTTGTTGGCCATCGGCCGATTGAGATTAGCAGGATGGCAGGATCATTGTATTTTTTCTTGAAAACTGATGAGAATGTAAAAAAGAGTAAAGTTGGAAATATACTGTCTGTCCAGGGATCGGAGCTCTCATCTGTCCCAAGAGAAATATCCTCATTTTGATATTGACCTAAGAAGAATGTATTTCCACTCTGCAGCTCAAATTATGCCAACAACCACAGTCCCAGGATTGATTGGATTATTGACTTCCTAAAAAGAAAATCTTATGATTAAGGAAACTTTCACGTTAGGAGGGGCGCTTATTCAAACGGGGCGCTTATTCGCGCGAGTACGGTATATTAATTATTACACTACCGTACAGCCTGTATTCATACCACGGAATGAATTAGGTTTAATAAATACATGGTATTGGGTCGGACTAGTAGATTGAAATAGCGTGAATAAGTTAGGTTAGCATTTGATTGTCATGTGGGTAAATAAAATGTATGAAAGTGTACTATTTCGATAGGAATTAATATAGACTTGCCAAAGTCTCTAATTATAGGTTTTCCTAGTATTAGCTAATTTTGGAGAGCGCCACCAGCGTTGGTATATATCGAGAAACTTTTATATGCGAATTATGATCTAACCGGGGTCCAAGAGAAGGGGATGTCTAGAGCCTCAATCAGGGTCCCGGAATAAAATCCCTGGTGGAAAGATGGTTTAGGGAGATCGCCTGTGTTTGTTCTGCTTTTAAAACTGTATCTGGTTTTTTTTCTTAATTTCCTTTCTTCATATTATTTCGACTTTCTTGTGGAGGCGCGCAATGAGCCTTTTTGAAACGGATACCGTACCGGCGCTTAATAATATTATTATTATTAATAGTAATTCATAAGATGGTCAACTGCTCTTTATTTTCGAACAAATGCAATTTTAGAGCTGTCGCATGTGGCGGATTCATGGGGAATGCAACTGCCTCCCCCCCTCCCACCACCAACAAATATTCAAAATTATTTTTAAAAAAATGAGAAACAAAGTACGGTATTGTGTATCCAAATTAAGTCTGAGAGTGCCATTTCCGGCCATCATCTACAGCAGTTGTTCCCAATCTTTTTGCATTCGCGAACCCCTCGGGACATGGAAGATAGAACCTTCTTCCCTCCATGCGCAGCCCCATCATGATTTAGGCTGAGCAGGGCTGAGGTAAGAATTTTTTTATGTCCATGGCACTTCTAAATGGCCGAAAATGTCACCTTTATACTCGATTGAATGTAACTTCTTTTATTTCTTATTTATATTTCATTTTGTAAAATTTAGGGCGACTCTTGATTGATATTCCGCCGGGGGTGGGGGTGGGGCTCACTCTTAACTATATAATTAATATACAA